GGGTAATTATTAAACGAAGAGCCATTGATTATTTTTATAAACCAATTACTAAAATCAACTACAACAATGAATATTGGCCGATACGTAGTGTAGCACGGGGGGTAGATTTCCGGGGGTAGATGTCTGGGGGTAGATGTCCGGGGGTACATGTCCGGGGGTAGATGTCTGGGGGTAGATGTCCGGGGGTAGATGTCTGGGGGTAGATTTCCGGGGGTAAAGTTCCGGTGTCAGGTTTATTAGCATTTTGATTAATTACAACTGTTAAGTAAACCGTGAAATGCGAGTTGATTGAATAAATAATAATTTATCCATCCTAAAAGTTCGCGGCCGGAAATCTACCCCCATACACGTGACGTCAAAGTGACGTAGGCGTTTTTTTCATGGGGGTAAATATCCGGGGGTAGAAATCCGGCGACCCTACCTACCTCAATTCCAGGGAATACTTCTATTAAATGTCTAAGCCACCTTTGGTAGATTGTAGCTTCAACCCTATTCAAATTTGTTTTAGAGGTTTATCGGAATAGTTTGAATTATATATATAAGTTTGGTGATGAACGTAATCCCGTGAAAAGACTCAAATTGACTCAATCCCTGTCTAGCGGGCACTTTGACGTTTTAGAGCCACAAAAAGAGCCCGTTTCTCCCTAGGAGGATTAAACATTAAGGAGAGGACACGCTGTAGTTTCGTTGAAGCCAGCATACTGTGGAGGGGGGAGGCAGCGCTACTCTCCCGCCCCCTCTCATACTGCGTTGTATGCGTTACTGGAAGATTTGGTAACAGACATATCAATTAACTATTTAAAAATTAGACTTCATCATGCTACGAAAATTAAAAAGTTAAATTCTAACCGTAATATTAGGAACCTATTAAGAGGAAAGTCATATTTATGAACCAATAGTAAGTTCAAAGGTGAGTAATTTACACAAAGATGACTTATTTTTTTTTAGAATTCGTTGCCCTTGTTTTTATTTTTTGTCATACTTGTATTGTGTTTTATTTATAATACTCTAACCAGAGCGCGGGACTCCGGTTCCTGGGGTCCCGGGATCAAATCCCGCCATATCACCAATGGATTTTACTGTTCATAAATTAAAACTCAAATCATGAGTAGTACTGTATGTGTATTTGAACATTTTCTTAAAGAGAAATAAAATAAGTTTTTATCCTTTAAAAGAATGATAAACGCACTTTGGCGGTCAGAAGACGCGATGATTGTTGAACATTTACACTTTTAACTCGAAGTTTCTTTAGGTAAACAGATCAAATATAGTTCAATATGATATTTAAAAAATCAAGAATTTGATTGCCAAGAAATTGTTTTACTTTTTATGATTGCAATTTAATTGTAACGGCTGTTGGTGTAAAAAAAGTTAGAGCGGCTTTGCATTTTTTTCTTAACTTTGGCTATTTAAAATCACCTGCCCAGCACATAAATGACTTAAAACTAGTAAAATATTATATTAACAAATCGAGAAAACTATGAAATATGCAAATTTAAAATGTATTTCATCACCCGAATTAAAATTTTCATTTTAACCTATTATTAGTAATATTGTTTTATAAACTGGAAATATTTAAAAAAAACTTTATTGTAATTATTTTTCTAAATACCACTTTTAAATATAGGTAAATATATATTTTTTATTTCCAGAAACTCTTAAGGAACACGAATAAATTGTTAATTTGTGTAGATACATCATATTTTTTTCAAAAACGTAATTAAAGTAATCATATGTTCAAAGTTCAGGTCAATTCTTTCAACTTTGATCTTCAATAATAAATAATAAATAATATTTTTTATATGAATGATTGACACCGTTCAATAGGAAATTTAATTTACTTTAAGAATGCCATCGGTGAATAACACAGATGTTTTAGTTTAGCGGCAATTTTAATTCGAAACAGCGCGTGTCGCGTTTTTCCCTATCTCTCCCATGTTATAGCCGAGGCTTTTTGCCACTCTACGGCTCCGCGTGCCCCTCTAGTGTTCTGCTAAAGCTGGCTTCACTGCAACACGTGTATTCCTATTCGCGTGCCCTCTCCTTAATGTTTAATCCTCCTAGGTTTCTCCCAATTGTCAGACGATTCCGAAATCTCAACAAAATACATTAAGGCGTAAAAGGCGTAGCGGGTGCACAGACAAACAAAGGAAAAAGCAGGCAAAAACGCAAGCAAAAAGGTATAAACAAACTCATCCTGAAATGCATTTGCCAAAGATTCAATGGATGGTGAAACATCTATCAACAATGACATATCATCCGAAAATAGACTATGAAGGAGATAGCTTGGTGGCGATAGGTACCATGACTAATGTAAGTACAGTACTGCTAAGCCTTAAAATGGAAAGAAAAAACACCGGGCATGTACTGCAATGGTGGTAAAGTATGTAAATAAAGTAAGTAAATCCTGTTACTACCTTTGCAGCACCTACCTAAACCTTTATGCAGTCTGGTCATGGGCAACCACCCTGAGCATACACACTTTATGGACCGGGTGAGACATTATAATAGCTGCTCTAATATGACATCGATTGGGGCATAACAGGTTGTAGCTGAATTGTTGACTGAAGGCTGTTGGAACTTAAAACACTAATTTATTAAACATGTCGGTACTTCAGTATTAAACGGAGGCCACCATTACGAAACGCAGGGCCGGTTCTAGGAATTTTTCAGAGTTAAGCGAACTCCCGAATCAGCGCCAATTAGAATCCCCCCCACCACCCCACCCTCAACCCATGACCATTACTTAACTCTATTTGTGAATTTTTCCCAACAATTTTAGGAAGAACTTTTTTATAAGTTTAAGTTAGAAGAATACTTGCAATAAAAGACTGTTTATTATTCCCAGGAATTTAACATTTGTACACTTTTACTCATCGTATAAACTTTGGCAAAACCAAGGCTACACTAAAAAAACAGGCCGTAATGCTCGTCAAGCATGACGTCACGATAGAAGACGGCAATGATATAATGTTTGCCGTTTGTGATCAGCTGCTTGTTTTTATCTTCCCTTGGAAAATAAATAAATAAATACCTACGTCATTGCCGTCTTCTATCGTGACGTCATGCTTGACAAGCATCACGGCCTAAGTTAACAATTTATTTCTAAATGTGGAAACAATTTTTACGCCACACTACACTATTTTGACGAACTAAGGATTTAGTCCAGAAAACAGCTGTTTGCCGCCAGCTTAATCAAATGGGGGTTTCATTGCGTACTACTGTACTGTAATGAGTTTTGCCCTACCGGACACCAATCAGCTGATTACACTGTATTTGGGTGACAATGAGTGGTTATAAACAAAAACATAACCTCTCTTAAAGGTTATGACTAGTGATTTTTTGTGAATAGTGGTAATAGGGTATAGTGTGTTGAAAAATAGCGTTCGTACAACGGACCGAAATAGTTTTGCAGCTCTCGTTCGATTTAAGTTCTCGACTTCGTCTCGAACTTAAAAACTATCTCGAGCCGGCAAGACCTAATTTTCGGCCCTACGTACGAAATATACTATTACAGGATAACTTTGATACAATATAAGTTAAAGCCTATTACAATGAAAACAGGTGTAGATAGATGACAAGAGAGGAATTTTTAATTGAACACATTAAACATGAAGAAAACATGAAAAACCAAATTTATTACCTTGACAAAGAATACAAAATTATCAATTTGAACAATTCAAAAGCTCTTAGCAGTTAAAAATTAATTTTCCTAGCTTTGATCATGGCAAATTCTTTAATTGCAGAGTTGGTATCAATCTGGTTCAGAACATCAGAATGTGGTTTAGAACATGAGTCATGAAATGAAACCCACAGGCGCCGCACTGTAGTACGCTGCCGACTGCCGACTGCCGAGCGTCAGCTCACTACAAATCGAAACTACAAATGGCATTTAGTCCTTGAGTTGTAGTGCTGCTGTACAAATATACGCATTTTTCATATGCTGTTGGTACAAACAGAATAAATACCTTTATTGTGGTGCTTTGAATACTTTAACTCTGAGCGAAAATAAACAAAATTACGTTGTTCACTAAAAAAATTTGTTCCGTTGGCGCCGCGGCGCCAATTTTTCATGGCGCCATATGCGGCCGCGTAGTTCGCGTATGGGTTAAACCGGCCCTGACGAAACGCGCCGCGGCACTTATAGCAGAGGGTTAAATTGTTATAGATGTTGTAGTAGAACTATTCTAGTATTGTTGTGAGTCGAGCATTATCAGATGAGTCATGTGTCTACTCGCAGAATCCCCTCCAAGTAGGCCAAGGTCAGGGTCGTTGACCGGAGCGCGCGCCATTACCTGTCATCGCCTGTCACTGTGTCTGAAACAGAGGCCACATTTTGTCAGCGCGCTGCGGCGGTTATGTTAGGTTGGGTTATCATAATTGAAAGTATAACTCGTCTGGTATCGTTCGATTCATATGATAACCCAACCTAACATAACCGCCGCAGCGCGCTGACAAAATGTGGCCTACCGACATTGCTGCGTTCTGGGTTGCACAACGTCAGAACCAGGCGTCGGATTAATTCTAAACTTCACCTGTTAATCTATTAAAGTGTGTTCTTTCCAAGTATGTAGTTATTTTTGGTATCCGGTACGAAATATTTCTGTAGGTTAGGTGGCCTCCGTTTAATACTGAAGTACCAAAATGTCAACCAATCTGAAAGTTTCCATAGCAAAGCACGGGTATTCGGCTAGTCCCTTATAAATTCTGTCTTGATTAGCTGATCCGTTAATGGCTGAACAATGTATGTCCAAATATGTAAGTGGTGTAGTGGAGCACTCTGGTTTTTCCAAATAACCTATATATTGATAGACGACCCTGCACTTGAAAATTTAAGACTACACCACTGGTTCAAATTGATGTTTCATTAACTTTTTAAACAGTAAAACAACAAATCAACCATACAACACAAACCAAGAAGTCAGTTAGTTTGCTAAGATTAGACAGTTCAACTAGGGTCAAATTAATTTAAATCTGAATCATAAATTACACTTTCTTACCTTCTTCTCCATATGATGTTAACAAAAGCAAATTCTACTAGTGATCCAAAAATAAATCCAGTGCAGACGATAAACCAAATCTCAGTTGCCTTAATATAAGACACTTTTGGTAGGGAGCTACCAATGTTCCTTGACAATGTTATAAATGTGAGCATCGTACTTGTTCCTGAAATGAACAAAGAACATTAAAAACATTAACTATGGAAGTCTCAAAATCTTTTACAGACTAAGGTTGCGTTTCCCTAAGGTAGTGTCTGTCTACCTATAACAGTGGTGTTAACTTGAGGTGGTGTTAACAAAACGTGTGTTAAATATAATATACAAATAAAATGTTTGTTTAAGCCTGCCTATACTAGAAAAAGAACAGCTGTAATGAACTTATTAGAATAACATTATAACAATTAAAATTGTGGAAAAAACCTATTAGTAAAATGTGTTTAAGAATCTTGTGTTAGTTTTGTGAATAATAATTTTGTTTGATTGTAAAAAGTGAGTATTTATTTAAATATAAAAAGTAAGAAAACTTTTCAGGTTATGGGCCCAGGGCTGCTCATGCCATAAAACTAAAACTTAACAACCAGGGCTGCTCATGCCATAAAACTAAGAAATAACAATCAGGACTGATAATGCCATAAAATAAAACCATAAGTAAGAACGGGCTATTAAATGCCATAAAACTAAAACTAGAAGAACAAAGTTTGAAGTTGTCTCTTAACGTGAGTATATCAACATTTTATTGATAATAATGACCAGTGAAAATGATTATAACACTATTCAAAGACTTAAAAACGTGGAAGCATTTGCTGTGTGGGAATTTGAGATTAGTGTGTTGTTCAAAGCACGAGAACTGATAGATGTAGTAAACGGAACTGAAACCTTAGATGAACAAGGTGATGATGCATCAAAAATAAAAAAGTGGAAGGTAAAGGATTATATATTGCTAACAATTGATAACCAAATTAAGCCTCATATTTTAACTTGTAAAAACGCCCACAAAATGTTTCAAACATTAAAAAGACTTTTTCAAAAAGATACTGAAACCCAAAAATGTGCATTACTTCAGGACTTTTACAACTTCAAGTACAATAGAGAAATTGATATGATGAGTAACCTTTGCCTAATACAGAACCTAACTTATAAACAAACTAAACCAACTCGACCAGAAAATAGATGACACAATGGTGATAACGAAGATCATGACGATACTACCAGAAAGCTTCAGACATTTCAACAGTGCCTGGGACTCGACATCAGCTACGGAAAGGACACTCGAAAATCTGAAAGCTCGACTCGTTCAAGAGGAAAGTAAGATGAAATCTATGGACAGCAGTAGTGGTAATGAAAGTACAGTTTTTAAGGCTAGCTCTACTCAATATGAACAAGGTATGACTAAATTTAATAAGCCTAATAATGTAAAATGTTTCACTTGTCAAAAGATAGGTCACATTCAAAAGAATTGTCCTAGTAAAAAGTTTTGCTCTTTTTGTAAAAAGAATGACCATTATGAGTCAAACTGTTATCTTAAAAATAAAGTTAAGGAAAATATGCCAATGATGTGTACTATTTGTAAGAAAAGTAACCATGATACTAAGAATTGTTTTTTTAGAGATAGGTCTAGTAAAAATAACAATAACAAAGATCCTAAAAACACCCATAAAACTGTTTTTCTGACCAAGGTTAAGGAGGAACAGGTAGGCCTAATCCTTGAAACAAGTATGCCTAAGCATATAAATGAAGTAAGTGAAGTTAACAAGGCTTTTGTTGTTGACAGTGGTTGCACCCAAAACCATATGACCAACTGCAGTAATATTTTAAATAACCTAAAAGAGTTCAAACAGGAAATATCAGTCGCTAAGAAACACCAGTCAATGTTTTCTCTAGGTATTGGTAGCATTGAAACAGACAAGTGTATTTTAAATAATGTCTCTTACGTACCAGAGTGAAAATTTAAAAACGTACGTTATCAGGAAAAGCACTTTGCAAATTTTTTTCCCCTTTTTTCAAAACTTTTATTATTATTTTTATTTCATTATCATTTGAAGTTTCATAAAATGTCCATGGTAACGCAATATCTTTGGTAGTTTTCTTTTTAAAGAGCATCTTTAGTAGAAAAACACAAAATCCTGTCACGACCATAACGGACGTTTAAATGAATATTACAAATAGTTAATATTATTTTTATAACTATGTTTTGCTATAAACTAATTTACTTTTATGACCATTATACAATAAAAAGGTCACTGAGCCTTTGGTATATTTGGTCTTTCTAGAAAAAAATTAAAAAAACTCAAAAAATAGATAAAAGCCAATAAAATCTTTTTAAGTTTGTATAACTCCGAAAAACATACCTGAGACCCGAAAAATCGTTATGTTTGTATAGAGGTGTGCTTCTTTTGTGTATAAAACATTGAAATATGACGATATTTTAATTTTTGAAATTTTTATGATAGAAATCATAAACGTGATGGTCAGGGACAAGCGGTACGGTCGTGAATTGTCTGGAATAATCTAAATCTTTCTAAACAATCCTTCAATTATACTGTTAGTTATAATAAAACTATGTGTTTCAATTTAACTAAACTGTTCAATTTACAATTATATTTAAGTTATTGTCACGACCAAACACACTATAATCCATAAGGCTGGATTGGTCGTGAAAAAAACCGCAATGGTCGTGAAACTTTGGTCGTGAAATTACGTGTTATTTGGCTCTGTTCTGGTGGTAGCCCTGCACCTCATGTTCGAGGATACAAAGTGGACTTCTAGGTTAATCTAGCTATTGAAATATCTTATAAACAAAAATTAACACCATGTCTACTTCATCGAATGACTACGTACGGTCATGGACGCACCAAAATTACAAAAAACACAATCTTTCCTTTATTAATCTTGTAATTCCTCCTTTCAACTCAAAACGACCGGCACTACAATCTTGACGTACACCCCGAACTAGTCTCTAAAACCAACTGACTTCATCGACGCCAGGCTTGCCACTGTCGTGCTCCAAAGTTGAAAATTTTTCCCAAATGGTCGTGACGCCAAATCGAGGGACAGACTTTTTTTGTCATGGTAGTCAGTCTACAATGACAATAAAATTATAATATGCTCCTTTTTTGTAAGTTTAATAACCATTGATGACATAAAAATATGGCTTTATATATTTCGGCATGAATAATTAGTCTAAAAACAGCGTGAAAGTTGGAAAACGTACCTTAGGGACACGTCATGGTCGTGAATTTAGAGACTTTAAAAATACGAAAAAAATACCTAGAACCTATTTAAAACCAAATAAATGTGTGTAACATGTTGCCCCCGTCCCAAAAAATATTAAAACACATAATAATAAACTACAAATCCAGTATCTACGAAGTAAAAGGCCAGGGACATGAAAACGTACGTTTTTAAATTTTCACTCACCAGAACTTAAAAATAATTTAATGTCTGTAAATGCCATTACGGAAAAAGGTGGCACAGTTGTGTTCACTAAAAATAAAGTAAAAGTCATTAAAAATGATGAAATGATATACTTGAAGGTAATAAAAATAGTCAGGGATTGTATGTAGTAAATTTAAGAAGCAGCATTTGTAGTGAGAATAGTCTCTCTAATGGTAATACCAGCGTCACAATTCAGTCAGGTGAGGTGGTAAATAACAACAGTCAACAAGAAGACAATAGTGAAAGCAATGAAGTCTGTAAAGGAAATGATGACCGTGATAAAAACAAACCTAAAAATCAAGAAAATTCTAGGGAATTAATGAAAATATGGCATAAAAAGTTAGGACACCTAAATAATGAGAGCATGAAGAAATTAACTAAGCCTAAAACCAATGATCGACAAGACGTTAAAAAAGAAGCTGTACTAGATGAAAGTGAAGAACTAGAAGAAGAAGACACTATACCTGAACACGAAGAAGAACATGAACAGGAACCAGAAGACCTATATCAAGACGAAAATGGACATACTGATGAAGAAGAACCTGGAATAAGAAACGAAATATATAATCTTCGACAAAGAAACAACATAAAAAGACCCGTAAGATATGAAGACTATGATCTTAACGCACTTTTGACATACAATGAATGTATCAATGGAGATGAAAAAGAAAAATGGAAAATTGCAATAAATAATGAAAAAGAATCTCTGAAGAAAAATGAAACTTGGGAAATTTTTGACAGAAAAGAAACTTTAGGAAAGCAAATTTTAACAACTCAATGGATTTTCAAAGTCAAAGATGATGGAACCTATAAGGCGAGACTTGTTGTTAAAGGATGTCAGCAAAAAGGGAAAATAGATTTCAAAGATACATTTGGTCCTGTAGTGGACAGTACTTCACTAAGATTACTTCTTGCTATAGCAGCACAAGAAAACATACATATACAAACATTTGACATTAAAACAGCATTTCTATATGGTCTAATGGAAGAAGACGTGTATATGTTGATACCAGAAGGTTTTGAAGAACAAGGTCAAGTCTGTAAACTAAATAAATCATTGTATGGTTTAAAACAGGCCCCATGCTTGTGGAACAAGAAATTTACTTCATTTCTTAAAAGTCAAGGATTGACACAACTGAAGTCAGATCAGTGTATTTTTAAGAATCCCGATAACGATCTCTACTTAGCTATCCATGTAGATGATGGCATTTTGATTGGTAAAAATGAAGGAAAAATTGCAAACTTACTAAAGCAACTTGAAGATGAATTTGAGATGACGATCAGTCCAAATCCAACAGTTTATATAGGGATGGAGATCAAACGTAACAGGGACGGAATTTTAATCAGCCAAGAAAAGTATGCAAAACAAATTCTTGAAAGATTCAATATGAAGAACTGCAAAGAAGTAAAGACACCAATTAACCTGAAAGATACAACTGAAACTCCACATGAAAATACTACTAAAGGAGCTTTTCCTTACAGAGAAGCAGTAGGAAGTCTGCTTTATCTCACTAACAAAACCAGACCTGATATGAGTTTTTCAGTCAGTTATGAAAGTAGACACTTGGAAAATCCTGACAAAAATGATATCCAAAATGTAAAGAGAACCCTTAGATATCTAAAAGGAACACAAACCCATGGAATAAGATTCTCTTCTATTAAACGTGACAAAATTGAGCTGAATGCTTATTGTGATTCTGATTTTGCAGGAGACACTCAAGACAGAAAAAG